CCAATTATAGGCAGCTTCTTTAAGACTGTTCTATCTCATACGCTAGCTAGATGGAACCTTCTGGAAAAGCCCAGGTGGACAACTTTTCTAGAATTGATACTAAAACAAGGTCAGAGGTACTATTTCTCATAGGCCTTAGCAGATAGAGGCCATTTGTATCTAGAGTTGATCCTCATCAAAGAGTTAGGCAAAGTAATTTCCTACCCATCCCATTCCATCTATTGGTCACTTTTCCGTGTTCCATTAACATCTTCTCCCACTTTCTATCCAACTAGTGTTTTCTAAAAACCATCAACATCAGTCAGTTCCAGTTAAGTGTGAGTTTAACATAAAGCCTGACTAATCTCAACAGCTGCTTTTAGGGTTCCTAATAGTTGAACAAAATATGTTTGACTTTTAGTTCATTAAAAGTAACTTTGGGCCTCTGATAGGCTGGAGAAGTAACTCTGAGAAAGTAGAGGAACGTCAGTGAGCAAGGGTGTTGTAGAACTGTGTTTAATAGTAGCAAATGCTCACGTAGGATTCGCTATGCATCAGGCACTTTTCTAAGCCCTGTACAAAGATAAATTCATTTAATATTCACAAGTCTATGAGATAAATACTCTTGTAATTCTCATTTTACATGTGGAACACATGACATGGGAAAACTAAATGACTTGCACAAGATCACATAGTAGGAAAGCAACAGCTCAACTCCAGAGAGCGTGGCCCAGGTGGCCATGGGGCTTTTATTCACAAAGCCATCCTGCCTGCCCAGGAAGAGTCATGGCATTTGGGAGGAAGGAGTAAATTTTACTGAAGAAGAAGAAAGAGAAGGGGAACAAAAAGAGAAAACTACCATTTTCTGTGATCTTAGGTGAGACATGTAATCTTTCTATGTCCTTAAAGTTACATTTACTATTTTGCTCTGGTTTTAAGCAAATGATAGAATTGCATTTTTCTTGAGAGCACCAGAGACTCTGTGGGAAATGATGCCTTCTAAGTACTAAATTATGGTATTATTAAGCATCTTTTATATTTGCATAAGTAAAATGTTCTCATAGGGTAGCTGAATAAATTAATAGCATCTGTGGAGGGCATGAGAAGGGCTTCTCTCCTCAAAAGCCATTAACCTAAGTTTAGCTATTCAAGTCCCATTGAATTCCAAACGCATTTTCTAAGTTTTAAGTGTAGAAACAAAACTCTGATACTGCAGGTAATTAAACTCATTCTGAGAAAAGTGTGAATATGTGGGTTGTATTGCTAGCATTTGTTGTAGCAGAATACTAATAACAAACTGGGGGAAGTTTTGCTGATTCCTCTGAGCACTGAGGAATGCTGGCCTATTTCAAATAACTCTATGACTCACCTTAAAAAGCTCCAGATAACAAATACAGCATTTCAATGGAAAAATAAATGCCATCGTATAGAGATTTTCCCTGACTTCAATGACTACACTTCCTAAATCAGAAAACCTTCTAATTTGAGGTGTACCAAAAATAGCATTGGTACATATGGAGCTACAAATGAACAGTTTCCATAAATACCCACTGCTCTGTCAAAGACACAGTTCTAGAACTAAAATTTTACATAATACTATGACCATGTTTTGATGTCAAGAAATTTTCAATCACTGTTCTAATTCCATAAAAAGAAATCTAAAATGAGCTTATTTCTATTTTTGTGGATGGTTAAATATCACAGTAAAGATTTTGAAAGCATAACAGTGTTGGACAGAAAAAAAAATGGGAAAATCTAAGGAAGCAATAATTTTAACAAAGCAGGCTTTCCATTATGGAATTCCCAGAGTGGAATATGGCCACAAAATAAGAAAGGGTCCCTGGTGAAGACAGAGGAAGGCTTTGCACCAAATGGAAAACATCTAGTTCAATGTAGCAAATACTTGTGAAAAATTACAAGCAAATACAATCTTCAGTGTACTAAATGCACTTCGCCATTGTCCTTATTTACCAGTTTCTGATCTTCTCCAAACTCATCTGATTTCCTTCAGATGTTTCTGAATATAATAAAAAGGGAAGGCAGTTTTCTACAACAAATACACTTAAATTTCTACCTACCATGCAGATTATTAGGAAATTGAAAGACATATTGATAGATTAAACAGGAAAAGCAGCCCAATGGAAGAAAGGCTGAATTCAATAGACTCAGCCCCACACTGAGATCCTCAAACTATGTGACTTTGCACAAATCATTTAATCTCTTTGGGCCACAGTCTCCTCTTTTGCAACATGGAATTAATATCTGCTTCTCTCACAGATTGTTATGGAAATCAAATGAGATTATCTCTGTAGCCCATTGTGTGTCATAAACCATTATGCACTATGAATGCATCAAATGTTATACAGGATCTTTTCTAAAACAATGTTTTTAAACTCTCTGCAAAAAGCATTGGGACTTAATAACTGTTATTTCTTGCTCAAAAAGGGGAGATTTGCAAATGTCTGTGAGCTGTTAAAAATGAGGAAGTGTTATAAACGATATGGTCCTTTTGATGCATTCAGGAAAATGGGAAAAGAATTAAACCAGGAATAACAGTTATTTAATGTTTAAAGAGTGTAACAATGCTTTGGAAGGACCAAATCACTTTTGTTCCATCTAAACCCATCTCTGCTCCATCAGTGACAGGCATCCCATGCTTTAGAAACACTGACTTAGAGAATCCTTGTACTTCTAGAAGTAGAATGCCATGGTTCTGAGTAAGAATTTAATGATTTACCCAAAGCCACAACTTCAGTCAGGTGCAAAACAAGGCTACAAGATACAAGAGGCTTAGTGTCTCAGCTCTCCTAACTGCTAAAGCCCACAATCAGCCAAGTTGCATGTCATTCATCAATTTTCACAAAGTGACAGACTGGATACAAGTGGCAGATCCCTCAAACAGTTAATGACCTCAGGGAACTGGGATTTCATTGCAGATGGTTGGTAATGGGAAAAAAAATTTGAGTTGTCAAAGTGAAACACCTACAGATGAATGATTGTACCTATCAAGTGGCTAATCAGGGGAGTCTCTTCTGTTGCTGATAATGCACAGCATTTACATACACTTGATATTGCAAAACTCTTTAGACCCATCCAACATGGGTTACCTATCAAGTAGACACATGCCCAGGTATGAGTGCCCATATCTTGACTCTTTGAGAAAATTAATTGGCAACACGAATGTAATCATACTCTCCAACTTAAATCCTTCAATCTCTTCTCATTGCCTGAGGATTTATAGAATCCAAAATCTCTACCACTATCTTGAAAGTTCCTCACCATCTCGTCCTTGCTCACTCCTTCTGCAGCCCATCTGGTCCCACTCTATCTTTTGTTCTCTGTGCTCCAGCCATGCTGACCTTTTATTTTCTCTGAACTAGGCCTTTTCATGCTGCTTTGTCTGCCAAGAATGCTCTTACCCAACCCAGCCCCCCACACACCATACTAATGCTCCTTCATCCTTCAAGTCTCAGATAAAGCAGCATTTCCTCAGAGAAGTTTTCCCTGAAGCCCCTAGATGAGATTATGTTCAATAGTCACAAGCTTCTCCACTTCTTTACCACTGTCAATCACAATTGAATTGCTGGTTCGTGTCTTTCTACTCCACTGGTGTAAACTCACTGAAGTCTCATCATCTGGAGTGTATATGTCTCATCTATCCCTGTAGCCCTAGCAGACACTGTAGTATCTGGCACAAAATAGAAAACACTAAGCAATTTTTGAATGAATGAATGAATGGTTTCAGACCGGTCCACACCTAAGGCCACCAAATCCTCCAGGATAATTTAGCAATATTGAGAGGATCTGGTATCATTTTTCAACTTGATGTAGACCATTCTCTTTTTCTAAAAGTGTATATTCATGATATAGACCTTCCTGTGGGGCAAGAGGGCTCAGAGGCACCATGGTGTAGTAGAAAGAGTACTGAGCAAGGAATCGGAAGGACTGGGTTCTGGCTCCAGCACTTATTTGCTGAGTGAACTTAAGCATCCGGCTCTTTCTGGCTAAAATATTCTCCCTTTTAAGGTATACAAATTTTTTGCCTATAAGGTTCTAGTAAGCACCACATGAGGTAATAATTATATTGTACTATTTTATATAGGAGTTGCTAATATTTCAACTGTGAAAAAAATTGTAAATTATAAAATACTAGACATTATGATAATTTAGTCACTGGCCTTTGAAAGCAGTTTTTGTCTTCCTGATTTTGAACAGTTATTGTTAATAATAAACAATATTTACTTTATTTCCTGACACTTGATGGCTAGTAGAGATATCCCAGTTCCCTCCAGGCTGGTGAGAGAGGAGTTAAAAGTTGATTATGATTGGTCCAAATTCAAGAGATCATACAGCATTGATTGGAAATGATGCACCTCCTTTGCTTTTATTCATTCTTCTATAGTATGAGAACTATTAATCTTTTAATAACATGCTCAGCATCATACCTCTTTGTGGGTCAGACTCTTGTTGGCTATTACACAGCAAAAGCTTGGCATAAATAAAGATGACCTGAATGCTAGTCCAGATAAGCTATCACCTACATGGAATGATTTTAGAGGAAACGTAAGTCCTGTTTCTCCTCACTGATGCTCAAAAATCCATTACTGAGATACAACCTTTCCTTCTACAATTAGAGATCAATTGAAATCACTTCAGATAAGTAATATAATAAATGTTAACCAAAATGCTAATGATTAATTAAGGCATTCTTTGATAAACAGCACTTAAGGAAAGAGAATATTAGACACGTGCCATATGAAAGAAAGAAAAAGAGAGACAAAAAAAAGAACTAAGTCTTCTTACTCTTTTAGGTTCTGAGACATTGAAATGGATTTATTTTTAAATGCACTGCTTTTTAAAGTGATTGCCGTCAAAATAGCTTTTGTTAGGAAAATACAGGAAGATGTATCTCCTAGCTAAAGTAAATTCTCCTAATGCTTTGTTGTGTTCTATGATATTCTCCAAACAGGCACTGAGCAGGAGCTGGGCTGACCTGTGTTTGACACTGGTTCTAATTGCAGACTCATAAATGAATCTTTGAGGGACCAGCTCTTGGTGACCATCCAGAAGACTTTCACATACACTCGGACCCAGGCTCAGCACCTGTTCATCATCCTCATGGAGTGCATGAAGAAGAAGGAATTGGTACGTGAGTGGGGTTCCCCACGGGTGCAGCGCCCTCTCCACGTCCCCTCTCTTGAAGCTTTTTCTTGAATCACCGACCAACTGCTTTTTATTTCTAGCCAAGCTCCCAGCCTTCCTGCCTCCATGGGCTCCTGTAGTTTGCTTCCCTCAGGAGCTCAGACACTGTTGTCTCTGCCCAGATTTAATGAAGCGTGTGCCGCAGGGTTTTAGCATCACTTCCTATGGAAGCTCACCCAAATGCTTCTCATTGCCTCAGCCAAAGGAATTGAGAGGAGAAAACAGGTCTCCTCCTGGAAGTGCTTCAGTTGTTCCTTTCTTAGGTTTGGGGATGCCCTTTGCTTGAGAACAGTGAATCACTGATGTGTTTGTTGTCAGATATCTTAATGACACCGGGTCCAGGCGGAAAATGGAGAAACTTCCTCAGGAATGCTGGCAACTTCTGTGGTGTCTGAAGTGTCCTCCAATAGCTACTGAAATATTTCTTACATCTGGGAAAAGTGTCTTAACAAGTGTGGTGTAGACTTAGGGCCCTTCTGTTTGGGTGAACGGAGATAATATGAGCTGACACTTGAGAAGCACTTGCTGTATGCCAGGCAGACTGGACAAACTCCTGTAATCTTTGCAGCTGTCCTGTTGAGAGAGGTACGATTATTATCCTTACCTTACAGATGCGTAAAGGCACACTCACTTGACTAGTAAGTAAGGAAGTAGGATTCAAAACGAGTGTTAGTGGTATTTAATCTCTGGGAAATGTTTCTATTCAGAAATTGTCTCATTGAAGCAAATGTAGTAAATTGCCCACTCTGGGTAGATCCCCAGCAGGCGTCTGGGAAGTGGAGACTATTCTCAAAGGTCATTTGAACCAGCCTGCTGACAGGGGAGGTGAAGGAGCAATTTAAACCTGAGCAGTGTCCTCACTCAGGTTTTGGACAATCTCAAATCTGTGTGGGCATCCTTGAATGGTTCTCTCTGAGGACACTGGGGGCACTTCTGCCTCAGAGGGGCACCAGGGCCACACCCTAAAAGGCTCAGCCCCAAGGGAGGTACATAGTGATGGGAGGACCTGGAGCGATTTGCCTTCAACCAGATCCCCTGTTAGACGGCAAGTTCCTCAAGGCATGGCTTGGAGCCCTCCTGTTCATGGTGGTGTCCCTAAGCCTGGGACAGTGGCTGGCACACACAGGGGGTCCCTGAGACTTCCAGAAAGGAGGGAGGGAGGCAATTTCTGAGTTTGAGAAGCCAAACATTTAGAAAAAGAGGACTTGATTCCAGTAAGCAAGACCCATCTCCGGAAAGCATTCATGCAACCTTTATGAGAAGCCTACAGTAGCTTCCAGGTTTTGGGGGGAAGCAGTGAGGGTGAGGAGACTGGGACACTAATCCCTGGGCATCCGTACCTGCAGGCAGTCCAGTGCTGCAGGTGCAGCTCACAGTCATCACCTCCCAGTGCAGGTGGTGCCCCAGGAGAGCCTCTATCAACCCCAAAAATGCCGCTGGCATTCTCCCATCTCAGATGTGGTTGCTCAAGGCATTTCAGCTCAAAGGCTTCCTCTGCCCGCAAGGAGGCCTGTGAAACTCTGAGCTCCCGCATGCCTGTCATAGTGTGGGTTTTCTCTTGAGTCCTAATGATTTTCCAGTGCTTAAGGCCAACGCTGACTGTGAAAACTTACCAGAGCTGTGCATTTCAGCAGTCCTGCAAATTTCCTAGAAAGGCAGTTAGGATTAAATCCGAGGAACCAGTTGGAAGTCGTAAAACCAAATGAGGCTGAATGTGTTTCTCTGAGCGTTTCATAAGGCTGTTCCCTGGGATTCTGCCTGATAACTGACATGTCACATAATCATGGCCCCTACTGAAAAAGTCAGCTGCATTTTAGTGTGAAATATTTATTGAAAGAAATGTGAGGCAGCACTCACTGCAGTCTAAGGCAATGTGATCTTCACAAGAAAGAAACTGTCTTTATCTCCACATCTGGGTAGGCATTCGTTAGGATTCTTAAAATCATACAAGTAATTAAAATAATTTCCATTTTTGAGGGACTGTGTATGAGCATGGACAGTACTAGAATCTTTAAAAAGGAGGAGGAGCTGAAGTGAGCACTGTCTTTCTCCCACCTCACGTAGGAAGGGAGCCGGGACGGGACAGGCTGGGAGGGGTGTGGAGCCACGCAGGCCGCAGGAGAGCCCAGGTGGCATCTGCCCACTGCCTGCTTAGCTGAGCGCACACGCAAGGGAGCTCATGGTGGAGTTCCTCCTCACCCACAGGCCTCAAGTTTCTGTCGATCCCCCGAACAAACTAAGTGAGATATAATATTCTGAGGCCAGTCTAAGCCATGCCAGGTTCAGCTGAGGGGTGTGGTTCTAGAACTCTGACATCTTTCTCATCCCAGCATCCTACTAACTTATGTCATCAGAAACTGCTCTGGGGATGCATGTTTAGCTCATGAAACCTGGGCCGTGTGGCCTCATGGAAGATATGCCTTGGTGAGCCATCTGTGTGGATACTCTCTCTCTACTCCCTTCATGTTGTTCTTGAATAAATCCACTTCTCCTCTGCTTCTTGCCCACCATGGTCAGAACAACATCTCAAAACCTGTCACCTTCAGAGAACCAACCTGGGAGCTGAGTTCCATTGTGGTCCAGAAAACATAAAAATTAAAGACACCAAAACTGTTCACTGCAGCATATTAATTTAGGGGCCGATGTAAGGGACAGGATGTAGTGCTCCTCCACCCCCTTCTTCCTCCAAAGGGGTCTGATCATAACCAACATCAGGAGCAGGAAAAGAGGACCCCAAGGGGCAAGGCGCACTCTGAGGCTGATCGTATGTATAGAAACCACAGAGTCTTTTAGTTCCAGAGCACAGTGTCAGGTCCTGGCCTCTGCTTCCGCCTCACTCAGCTCCTGTCTGCCCGCCAAGCTCCTGCAGAAGCCTTTCTCTGTCACCACTTCCAACCCTTCAGCCCCAGGCTGGCCCAATACATTCGCTTTTGGTTGTAGGGAAGGAGTGTGGACTCAGCAACGTCAGCCCCGTGGTGTGTGTGGCCCTGAACAAGTCACGGCGGAGGGTGGTACCTGCCCAGCTCCTAGTCCACCACCTTCCATTTCCACACTGATGGCTCCTCCAACTTGCTGCCCTCCTCTCCCAGCTGCTGGGTCTCACAGGGGCCAGTGCTGTTCACCTTGCCACCTCTTCCCAGCTACACCTGATGCCAGTTTGATCCGCTCAAACTGAGACTGCACCAAAGCCCAAGACTTTAAAATCTATTCTGTGCTCCCAAACCAACTGCCTCCACTTCCCCCATCACTTCATTCATCTCAAACTCAACTGCCAAGCTTCTGTATAATTCACTAGTGTGAAATAATCCTCCTGAGATAACCTCTGCAGAAGCTTTTATATTTTGAAGTAGTTTTCTTTGTCCTCCTAGTTAAGAATCCAAGCTATCTATTTCCCTCACCTGGGTCCTCTTACCTACCTGTTCCTCTGTCCTGCTTCTCTATTCCAGTCCCAAAGCCAAGTCACTTGGTTTCTTCATCTTTAGTATATAACCCTTCCTAATCCTTACATTGTTCTAGACTGTTCACATTTTAATCTCCTGACTCTCTGGGGGCTTTTGTAGCACATTTCACACAGTCTTTATGCTATGGCAAGATGAACTTCCTTCTTACTTTCCTATATCTGGGTCTTGTTGGAATAAAGATTCTAATATCTAGAAGCAAACATTGCAACTAGACTCCTAAGTGTGTCTACCCAGTCCATCAGTTTGGGAGGTACAGAATGAAAATAGACTGTTTCCTTAAACCTCATCAGTGTAGAAACTTTCAAGGATGTCTAGAGACATAGAGACTTAGAGAAAAGGTAGTTTGGGGAGATTCAGAGGGACCCTGGTATCTACGTTTCTTGGTAAGATGATGGACACCCAGCCTGAGAAGCTAAACATAAGAAATAGGTCATAGTTATGGCCTAGCTGGTGACACCGTAGCATCTCATGTCATCACATTCTCCACTTGGGGAGGACACCTAAAGGCACGGAAGAGCCACAGCCATAACAAGTAATGCTAATGCAATAAAAGGAAGCAACGACATTAGGTCATCGGGTTTGCCTCCTTTTTCAGTTACTTTTTTGTGGCATTTGACGCTGTCAACTTCCTCCTTCTTGTTCAAAGTGACTTTCCTATGGATTCTAATGATGATTTTAGACTCTTTAGATTCTTTTTGGATTTCCTTGCCATTTCTCTTATAGTTCATTCACCTTTCCATTGCTAGCTTCTCTTCTTCCTCCCCACTCTATAGATAGGTATTTATCAAAGATCAATTTTTGGCTCTACTCTGACTTCAGTGATCATTTTGAGATAACTCCCAAAGGCACAAATAACTGGCCTTATCCTCCTCCAAGCTCTTGCATTTCCAAACCCCTGCACACCATCACCTGCACCCTTATTCTTCCTCTCCTGCACTATTGTTAGTCCCTCCTCAACTGGTCTCCCCTAGTCCAATCCCCCCCAACAATCCATGCTATACACTGCAGGGGGTGGCAAATTCTTCTTTGAAGTAGCCAGTGGTCAGTATTTTAGGTTTTGTGTGCCACATACAATCTCTGTCACATATTTTTCTTTGTTTGTTTATTTGTTTTTAAACACCCCTAAAATATAAAAACCATTCTCAGCTTCCTAGCCATAGGAAAACAGGCCATTGGTCAAATTTGACCCAGAAGTGTGGTTTGCTGGTCCAGCTACATAGTAATGCCAGATACTTCTTGCTGGAGCACAGAACCAATTACATCATTCCTCTGAATGTAAAGTATTATGTTTTGCTTATAGTTCCAGTCTTAAACTCCATTGCTTTTTTACGGACCCTTCATGTTAACCAAACTTAATTTCTCAGTCATTTGTAAAAAATTTCCTACTTCCCTGCATTTGGTCAAGTTTAGAGCTTTCTCTTTATCCATAAGCAATTGCCAGACACATGCACATACATGCATTTGCATGTACACATGCACACA